GTAATGCGGCCTTGCTCCGGAGGGGGAGATAAGGAGCGAGAGACTTGGCAGGAGGAATAAAAAAAAAATAAGATATCAAATATCCCGGCTACGCAAACAGCAATTTTCCATCCCCCCTTTCCTCCTCAATCCGTGGAGGGTTAGGGTTTGCCAGCTTCCCGCGGGATCATCTCTCACGCCTCCTCCCCTCCGGAGATATTTTTAAAGCATCGTCATCGAAAACAACTGGCTTGAGTTTAGGTCCAGGGCGACGATTTCCCAGGATTTCCTCCGCAAACCATGCCAAGAAACAGCGAATTCACAAAAATACATCGTCCGAGATGGCTTATCCAGCCCCAAAAATCCCACGGCGGTGGGATTTTTGCCTTTATTTGGTGCGGTGTTTGGATGCGCCGGGCAAAACGCGACGGATAAAACCCTCGCGGCGATGATTTGGGGGGGGGGAAGGGGAAGCTCCCGGTGCATGGGAAGCGTCTCCCAAATGGGATTTTCCATTAAATCCCTTCAGAAATTAAACTGATTCCTTAAGTTTACTCCTTCATCTCTGTTTTTTTTAATTATAAGGCGGCACCGGTGACCGGTATCGGCACCAGAGTGTGCCCAGACGCCTGGTGGTGGGCTCTGCCGGGCCGGCGGCACCGTTTTGCAGATTTTAAGGCTGAAGTAGATAAAAAAGTAAGGTTTTTGGGAAAAAAACCCCCAACCATAAAATGGTTGGGAAGGGGAGAAGGGAAAATCTCCGTGCTGGGCACTCCGCTCCTTTTAATCTGCCTGCAAACGTTCGGTTTTAAATATCCAAAGTATTTGGTTTCGAGGTGGAAAAGGCTTTTTGAGCCCGTGGTTGATGATTCCCGATGTTACAGCCCGGATCCGGCAGATCCGCGGATAACGGAGGAGCGGGAGAGGGAAGAGGAAGGTCGCAGGGGATGCCGGCGTCGGGGGAGCTGGGGTGTCGGGAGAGGAGAGGTGGGATTCCTCGGAGCATCGCGAGGCCGGGCTTGGGTGGCCACGGATGTGGATGGACAGCCATGGCTCCAAATGGGCATTACAGCTCTGGATGGGTGTCCACGGATCCGGATGGGTGTCCACGGATCCGGATGGGTGTCCACAGATCTGGATGGGTGTCCACGGATCTGGATGGGTGTCCACGGATCTGGATGGGTGTCCACGGATCTGGATGGGTGCCCATGGATCCGGATGGGTGTCCACAGATCCGGATGGGTGTCCAGAGATCTGGATGGGTGTCCATGGATCCAGATGGGTGTCCACGGATCCGAATGGGCATCCACGGATCCGAACGGATGCCGGGCGTGAACCCACCTTCCAGAAAGACCAAGACTTGACGCCTTCACCCATCAAGAGGGCTTTTCAGGGCTTCCCCGCTCGTCCCACTGATGCCGGAGAAGTAGGGACAAGAAGTGGAGACAAGTTTCTCCGGCAAACGCTCCTTACGGATAAGACACAGCCGGGCGCAGCTACTGGGGAGCGGAGGGGGCTGCATGGAGCCCCCCAATTTCTGTCTCATCCTATCTGATCGGGATAAAAGCGCTCACAGAAAGAAACCCCAAAATCGGGAGAAAGCCGCAGAGTGCGGGTGTCGGGTGGGAAGAGAGGAGAAAAGCTGCGGACTAAGCCCGGATCAGGAGGGATTAAGCATCGGTTCCCGAAAAAAGCCGCGTGATATGACGGCGTCTTGGCCGAGCATGCCCCTGCTCCGATTTTGGGCGGAAAGAGGAGCTGCTATGGCTCAACCGTGAGCATCGGCTGCTCCGAAACCCACTTCTCCAGCGCTGCTCCTTCGGGGAAGATGGTTGCACCCTTCTCCATCCATCCTCTGGCGTGCCACAACCCAGCAGTTCTCCCGGGGCGTTTTTTTCCGGCGCAGGCTTTGCCATCGCTCTTGGTACAAGCTGAATATCGCCACAACGAACCGTGGCAAGACCTCGGAGCAGGATGGGTCAATCCTGCCGCTTGAATCACCCGATCGACCGCAAATGGGGCCGAAAGCATCCGCCGGTGAAAGGATGCTTTGGGAGACCCTTCGGCAAGAAGATGAAGCCAACGGAGACCGTGAGCGGCAAAGCCACGACGGTCCCAGGGGGATCACCCGGTGGCACCGGTGACTTCGGAGATGCCAACCCCACCGAAGGATGAAGCTTCTTCACCGTTGAGGACGGTTGTTGGGTTACAGTCGGTATCGTGCGGTTTGGCATCTCCCCGTGGAGCAAGAGCACCGAGAAGAAGCCCCGTCCCATCTCCGACCCCGATGCCGTTTCACGCTGGCCGATTAAATCTCATCTGCGGGGCTAAAAATCACCGGGATTTAAAAAGAAAAGTAATTTCATTTCATTTCAAGATGTTTTCGGAGCAGAACGGTTCAATCGGTGCACAAGGCTCCGCTCCTGCCGGCGTGTCGGCAGCCACGTGTATATATTTTCTTTTTCCCTAAATCCTCATCTCTCGCTCCCACCCAAATTTACCCGGAACAGCAAAACGCCGACATACGGTTCGCTATCATCATAATTTCCACGTTATTGGTTAAAATTCCATGATTATACAAAAAAGTGCATTTTCATAGCAAGCCACTTTATTGATTTTATTATTTAAAAAGAAAAATATCAACGCTATACAATTTTTATCTGGTTTTTTTTTGGGGGGGAGGGAGAAGCTGGTGGTTACATGGCTGCGAAATCTCGAAGCATAGGGAGAGAATATAAAAATAAACAGATTTATATAAAGTCTTTGTAGCAGATCAAGGTTAAGTGGGGGGGGGGAATCAATCTAAATAAAAGCGGTTATGGAAACAGTTTGTTTGTAGTTAAATTCATCCCGATTTTCCAACAGGCTGGTGCGTTCAGGAAAAAAATAGATCTAAAATTACAAGTTTGCTAAAAACATGCAGTTACACATTCCAATAAAATCACGATCCCACGTTAATTCCCCCTGCGTCTCCCGGGAAAATAACAAACTTATTTGGGGAAAATATTATGAGAAATGCTAGAAGTGACTTGAGTTTAAAAAAAACCCACCCAAAAAGCAACTTTTCGATATAATATGGGTTATAAATAGAATTTTTTTGATAGAAAAGGGGATCTCTGTTAGGTTTTAGGGCAGCAGAGCCGCGACGCGGCCTCCTGGATTTGGGGGTGGATGGGTTTTTTAGTGGAAAATATTCATTTTACCTAATTCTGCTCTTGGAGATCAGAGCGGTGGCTTCCTCCACCTTACAGACCCCGCGAATCCCCCCAAAATCGGGCACGCCGGTGACTGCGGCGCTACCGGAGCAACGACCGGGTTGGCCGTTAATCCTCCAAATCCCATTAAATACACCAAAATTTGTCTAATTTGACCCGAAAGGCGCTTGACGGGGCGCTGGACACCGCACCCAAGGAGGGGACGCTCAACCTGGAGCCGGCACGGCCGCTCCACCGCGGCAAAGACGCGTCGCCGCCGACAAGCTGGGACCCCGCGGCGTAACCGCGAGATGCCGTACGGCACTTGGGAGCCCTTTTGGTGAGGCCCATCCTTGAGCAAAGGCATCGGGAAGCATTTCTAGGGTAAAACTGAAGGGATTTGGGTTTTTCTCGGCACCGCTATCGGCACAAAGGTGCTGCCTGCAGGCAGGGCTGCCTGCGGCGGTGTAAAGCCACGTGATGCCTCGCTGCCTGTTGCCCGACTCCCTGCCTGCACGCTGACTATCAGCCGACGACGATCTGAGGTTCTTCTAAGTCAAGATTAACCGGCACGGCCACGGTTCCTGCCTGTACCTGCCAGACTTGTGCCGTGGCACCTTGCCGTGGGCATACGCGGCTAAGCCGAGCCTAAGAGACCTCTCTCCTCTCCTGCCAAGTGAAAAAGGTTGGCCATGAGCTGGGGGAAGACTCGCGGTAGGTCAACGAGGGACTCTTAAGTCCCTCCTGTCGTACACCGCGGCAGAGAAACCCAGCCTGGGAACGGGGCAAAAAGGAGCAAATTCTTATTAAACCCGTGTGCCTCTGAATTAAACCCAGGTACCTGCGATTTAAACCCGCAAATTAATCCCATGTAACTTTGAATTAAATCCAAGTACGTGCGGATTAAACTCGGGTATCCACGGATTAAGCCTGGGTAACTCTGAATTAAACTGGGGTACCTTCGAACTAAACCCGGGTATCTGCGAATTAAACACGGATATCTTCGAATTAAACCCCAGTACCTGCAATTTAAACCCGGGTACCTGCGAATTAATCCCATGTAAATTTGAATTAAACCCAGGTACCTGCGGATTAAACCCGGGTACCCAGAGATTAAGCCTGGGTAACTCTGAATTAAACTGGGGTACCTTCGAACTAAACCTGGGTATCTGTGAATTAAACCCAGGTGCCTGTGAATAAACCCGGGGTACCTCTGAATTAAGCCCGGGTACCTCTGAATTAAACCTGGGTACCTTTGAATTAAACCCGGGTACCTCTGAATTAAGCCCGGGTACCTCTGAATTAAGCCCGGGTACCTTTGAATTAAACCCGGGTACCTTTGAATTAAGCCCGGGTACCTCCGAATTAAACCCGGGTCCTTTTACACTCAAACCAAGTACCTGTGATTTAAACTCAGGTATTTCCGAATTAAACCCGGGTACCCAGGAATTAAACCCGAGGGATCTTCAACCCTGAGACGCCACCGAGTCCTAGCCCATTATTAACCCAGGCTTATGTTAACGCCGCTCCTCCTAAAGACAGAACCGGTAACTCGTTTGCCGAAGCACTTAAAAGATTTGCCGAAAGCAGCTCCGCAACCCCAGGAACAGGTTTTCCAGCATTGCTGAGCCAGCTCTAATCCCGATTTTTAATCCTTAATGCAACATAACCGCGCTGCCGAAGCCTTGAGCAAGCTGCAAAGCTTTTGCATTTACGCAACTGCATAAAAGGTGCAGGTAAATGCAGTTTTCCTTCGGGAAATTTGAGAAGAAAAGCAAAATTAGCGACGGCGAACTAACTGAGGCTCAGATGTAATTGCTGACGTTTTAATCGCTACTATTAATTACTGCACCTGCGGGATTTCTCCCCCCCGACCGGTCTTTCGGGGGTCCTGGGAAGCATCTCCCAAAATATCTGGGGGATAAAACAACTCCGCTCAGCCGAACGGCGAGGATGAACATGCAGAGCTCTGGGTTTGCCGTTAAATAACCCCAAATTCGGTGCCTACCAAAAATAAGCCAGGTTTTAAGTTGCCCAGTAGGGCAACAACCCGGCTAAACCGCGGTCCAGCCCAAGCGCCGACGCTTGAAGCCGGGAGAAGCATCCGAGCTGCTCGGAGAGCTTGTTCCCGGCTGTTTGCCAGCAAAATACTCCTACCTAGATGCTTCCAGGACGGAGTTCGGAGTCATTTGCATCCATTAATTGCTAATTACAACAAGTTAAACCGGAATAACCCTCTCGATCGGCGGCTCCGGTTTCTCAGAGCTCAAGGCAAAGGCTCAGTCCCATCTCCTACGCCACAAAACCGGTATTACGGTATTTTTTTCTCCCTTTGAAGCCTCCTATTTTCAGAGTTTCAGCAGATTTTCGGCAAAACGCTCCTGATTTAATAAAAGAACAGGTTTAATTGCCAGCTACACGGAGGGATGGAGACGTCGCATGGGTTCGAGCGGGCGAAATAAAAATAATTCCCGTTTTAAAAGCTCTGGGTTGCAAAAAGGCAAGAAGCAGCTCACGGGAGCCCCTGCTGAGCAGCAAAATCCCGCTTTAAAGAGAATAAAACAGAGTTGGAATTAATTGCAATTAATTCCAGCTTATAATTTCATCACGCCCGCGTTTGCTTATACGCGTTAGCATTAACCGCCTCGTTTTTTTTACAATAAACCCAAGCAAACGCAAAACTCAAGGTAAAAAAAAAAATTCACGTTATCGACGTTCGCCACTCATTTTAAAATCACAAATATCCATCCCACAAAGGAATTCCACTGTACGGCGGCTCAGGGGGCAAATAAAAGCCTCGCTAATAGAAAATAAGATCCTCAAGATGCCAGATTTTATTCAAAATGGCAGGGCAAATTCTGAAGCTTGCCAGCAAATTTGACATCGAATTCTCCGCTGAAGCCAGCGCAGGCATCGCGACGATTATCCTCCCAGAAAAAAAAATAAAGATATGAATATTTTACCACAGCAAAACTAACCGCCCCGTCCCGCTCAGGGTCGTTAAATTAACGTCATCGTCAACGCGCCGTGTCAAAAATACGTCTTAAAACATCTCAAAGTGTCTTAAAATGCCTTAAAAGGCCTTAAAGCAGCTTAAAACATCTTTTAAAACGTCTTAAAATGTCTTAAAGCATCTTAAAACGTCTTTCAAAAGGGCTTAAAACATCTCAAAGTGTCTTAAAATGTCTTAAAAGGCCTTAAAGCAGCTTAAAACATCTTTTAAAACATCTTAAAATGTCTTAAAGCGTCTTAAAATATCTTAAAGCATCTTAAAATGTCTTTCAAAAGGGCTTAAAACATCTCAGAGTGTCTTAAAATGTCTTAAAGCGTCTTAAAATATCTTAAAGCATCTTAAAATGTCTTTCAAAAGGGCTTAAAACACCTCAAAAGTGTCTTAAAACATCTTAAAAGGCCTTAAAGCAGCTTAAAACTTCTTTTAAAAGGTCTTAAAATGTCTTAAAGCATCTTAAAATGTCTTACAAAAGGGCTTAAGACGTCTCAAAGTGTCTTAAAAGGTCTTAAAGCATCTTAAAACGTCTTTTAAAAGGTCTTAAAACGTCTCAAAGCATCTTAAAACGTCTCCAAGCATCCTAAAAGGTCTTTGAAAAGGTCTTAAAAGGTCTTAAAACACAACTTAAAAAGTGATTCAACGGCAACGTTGCCAATGGAGATGGAGAAGATCTGCAGGATATTGGGCAAATCCCCGCGGTCGAGGGTTTTCTCCGTGTATTTCATCAGAAAGGGAGAAAGAAATGGTTTAGGACAGCGAAAACCCATCGTCATTGGAAATTAATTGAATAAAATAGATGAATTCTCTTAATTCACCTCCTACCCAAAGCGATCTGGGTCAGCTTCATCCCCCGACGGCGAGATCTCCGGCGTAGACCGAGGGTATCCGTGCCGGAGCCGCGCTGGTTAAGCCTTTTCCAAGCACCGGAGCGGGAGCCCAACAAGGATAACGTCGGTCTACGTCGGCCAAACGAATCCTAAATACTCACAGCCGGGACGGCAAACACCGGCAAGACGTCGGATTTGGGGAAAAGCAGCCAAAAAGAGGACAAAAGCATTTAGAAACGCCAACGCAAGAGCAACCCGCGCGCCTCCGCATCCACCGTTTGGGGAGAAACACCCAAAACCGAGCGTTTTCCGCTCCACGGGAGGCTGGTTTTGCCGGAGCGAGCGGCACGGAGGAGATTTTGGGGCCTTTCTAGGTTTTAATTAGCGCTGCTAGTTGAAACGAGAAGGGTTTGGCATCGGCGCATCCTGAAAATTCCCACCTTACGCCTCACGTCCCCGCCGCCGCGCTCCGGAGGGAATCCCTGAGATCATCCCTATAAATCATCACCCGAAATACAACCGCTATCCGGTTGCGGATCCATCCTCGGCTTTGGGCGGGGAAAACCAGAGAATTTTAAATAAAAGGCCATTTGGGGATTTGCAGCGGATGGGTTTAGCGGGGAAATTTTATCGGATGGGTTCCGTTTGGAAACGGGCCGCCGGGCTCAAGGCTCTGGTGTCGGCCCAGGTTAACGCTACACGAGAAGGTGGGGTGGATAAACCCAGTTGCTCCGGTTTATTCTGGTTGATGCGCTCGTGAGCTTGGCAGAAATAAAGATAAATTGGGTAAAAACTGGTTTAAGAGCATAAATAGGGCAGGTTTTGCCCGCCCCCACCAAGCAAGGGGAGAGTTCAGCACCGAATAATTTAATTTTCCGATGGCCGAGAGTCGCCCCGAAACGCTGCAGCGAAACCTTTCAACCTCCTGGAAGAAAACAAAAGCCCGATTCTATTAAAACCACGTTCAAGTAGGTAAATATGTTCAAAGCTATCGGATTCCGGACTTATCCCAGACAAACGCATCCCTAAAAAGCGGAGGATCGCTGGGAAGCGTTGCCAGCGCCGGCTCCAAGGCGAGTCCGATCAATCCTGCTTTATTTTTGGAGGTTTATTTTCATTTTGGAGGGGACTTGCGCTCTTTTTTGCAGTGCTGTTTGCCCTACGCGCCCAACCCAGCTAGGAAAAGAAATCCGGATTCTTTTCCGTGCATCTCCTCATTTCCCAACCCCTTAAGTCTTACCGTTGACTTAAGTGCTGGGATAAGCCCAGCTTAACTTGCAGAGTCCAAGCTGAGAGGAGGAAAAACCAGCTTTAAGCGACGGCGCAAGCTTTGCTTCCCTAAAACCAAGGAGGGAACGCGAGCAAGGAAAGCCTAATCCTTAAGACGAACGTGAGAACAGCCTAACTTAAGCCCGAACGATGGCGGCACGAGGGAGAAGAGTCACGCAGCCGCCGCTCCGGTGATTTAAAATTGTAAAATTGAATTTTAAATCGTTTTTAAGCGAGACCTGCCCGTAAAAATAAGGCTTTTACACGTCAAACCCCCCTTTCCTCCGTCTTTCTCCGCCCTCTGCGGCGCGAGAAGTGCCGGTGAGAACGGTTTATACCTCTTTTTTGAGTGAAAAATACAGCGTTTTTCTAAAAATACCGATCTAGGGCATTCAGCAGACAAGGAGCTACCTCGGCGCACGCTGGGTTTTTGGCTCCCGCGCTCGCGTCCAAGTTCAGCAAGGAAAAGCTTATGAAAAAATCATCGGCGTCGGGCTTAAGAACCGCCAGAGACAACATCGCTACCGCCGAGTTGTCCGTGCCGAGTCCAAAGCCGAGCACCGTGCGGCTGCGTAGAGCGGTTTTTTGTCATGATAAAGGCCCCCCCCAAAAAAAAAAAAAAAAAGAAAAAAAAGAAAAAAAATAAAAAAAAAAAAAATTAAAAGACCAAGCCAGGAATGAAAACATATTTATTTATACAGAAAACCAGGTCTAGGACTGAGTCGTTAAATAAGCTGCGTCTAACCTGTTTCTGAATCTTCGCTGTCGGAGGAGCTGGACTCGCTGGTGCTCTCGGACTCTGAGGAGGAGAACCCCTTCATTTTAGAGGAACCAGCAATTACATCCACTTTCTCCGCTGCAAGAAGACAACAGTACGACATCGTTAAAAGATAATTAATAACTATAATAAATAATCATTAATAATTCATTCCTGCCCGGTGCTGCCTGCTCCTCCCCTACCGACACCAGCAGCCGCCCCGGAGGCTGCGCAAGACCGGCGGCGCCCCGGTATTCCCCCCGACGGGCTGAGCCGAGCTTTAATCCTGCGTCTCGGCTTATTTCCCTCGCCGGTTCGAACTAGCGGGGGTCTCGGAGATCTTTGGGGTGACGATTTTTGACGGGGCGTCGCCTTGCGTCGCCATCCGAAGCGGGACGGGGACGCGCCGATGGGCGCCAGCCGGGATTTAAGCCCGGCCTAGCTGCACGGCACGCGCCCGCTTGCTTGAGCGAGGTCGTTCTTTGTCCTAAACCCCTCCGGGGTAGATAGGCCTGGCTTTACCCAGCCGCTTTAGGCTGGCCTAAGCCCAGAGGGGTCTTGGCCTGCAGCCAGCCGGGAGCCGGTGCTTAACCCCGCGTGGCTGCGGGATACGGGGCTGAAAACTCCCTCATTTTTATTTCAGCTGCCTCAATTTGCTGGTCTGAGGAGGCGGCAGGAGGCCGAGGCCGTGGAAAAGGATAAAATCCCTTTTTTTAATAGCTTAAACCAAAATAAAACCAGGCAGCTACAGCCTAGGAGCTGCTCAAGCCGCTGCTGGACCCCTTCGCTAAACCCCTCAGCTACAGAAAAATATAAAATATCGATGTTTTGCTCGGGTACGGAAGGATGAAGAAACCTTCCAGGATTCGGCCGGGTTTGTTTTCCGCTCGGATTTATCCCGGGAAGGAACCGCTGCCCCTTCGGCCACGGGAAACCCAGAGATTCCCTTCAAATTCCCTTATTTCGCCCCTGGTCGCTGCCACCTCCCCTTTTGCTGGGGGTGATTTACGTAAAAAAATGGTTATCTGCTCTTGGGTCACGAATAAATACGCGGATTTATCGGAGAAAGATGTGTTTTAAAATATATTATCAATAAAAAGGGGCGTAGATTAGATTTAAACTAGATTTTAAATAGATTTAAACTAGATTTTAAATAGATTTAACTAGATTTAAACTAGATTTAAACCAGATTTAAACTATATTTAACTATATTTAGACTAGACTTAAACTAGATTTAAACTAGATTTTAAATAGATTTAAACTAGATTTAGATTTAAACTAGATTTTAAATAGATTTAAATTGAATTTAGATTTAAACTAGATTTTAAATAGATTTAAACTAGATTTAGATTTAAACTAGATTTTAAATAGATTTAAACTAGATTTAAACTATGCTTTAAATATATCTAAACTATATTTAAACTATCTTTAAAATATATTTAAACTAGATTTAAACTATACTTATATATTTAAAGTATATTCAAACTATATTTAAAACATTTAAATATATTTAAAGTATATTTAAAACATTTAAAACAGATTTAAACTATATTTAAAATATAGTTAAAACGTATTTAAAAGATACTTAAACTATATTTAAACTGTATTTAAAACTTATTTAAAGGCCATTAAAATAGCTTAAAAGATTGAAATCGATTGAAATGGATTCAAGTATATCAAAATATATCAAAATATATCAAAATAGCCATTAAAAATTAACCCTGGGTGTATTAAAAAAGGGGGAAACCCCCCCCGCTTCGGCCTCCAGAAGCGGAGGCGCGGGAGCTCCTCGGCCCCCCGCTCCGCATCCGACATCCGTCGGGAACGCCGGCGTCCCGCCACGCCGAGGGGGCGGAACCCAGAGCTCCGCCGCTCGGCACCGGGTTCCATAAAGCCGGATCGAAACGCACGCCTCGCAGCTCTCCGGCGAGGTATTGATCGGAACGAAAATAAGGATATTTAGAGGGAATTTGGGAATTAGCGGCTTCGTATCGGCCCCGCCCAAATTCCGGCCCCACCAAATTCCGGCCCGGCGGCAGGATTTAACGCGCGTCTTGCCGAGTTCGTGAGGGAAACAGCGGCTCTTCAAGAAAATCCTCTTTTTCACTGGACAAACACCCGCACCCGGCTTTTTTTCCACCCGGCTCTGCCTCGAGCCTGGGAAACCATCGCTGGATTAAGGAGAAAAAACCGGATTTGAGGTTAAAAGCTACCTTGAGGTTTCCTCTTCTTCCGTAAACACGACGTGACGTATCTCTCCAGCTCCCGCAAGGTGGATGGTTTTAACGTCTCAAAGTCGATCTCGATCTCGTCGGGATTGGAGTTTTTGAGGGAGGGTTCTCTCGACTGGATGATATGGACGACGCGGCCCAGTTTCTCACCGGGGAGTTTATTAATGTCCAAGCTCAGCTGCCTCTTCTCCTCGTAGGACATGGGCTTGCACTTCTCCTCCTCCTCCGACTCGTAGGCTGGAGGGGGCTTGCTGTTCTTCACCGGCACAGGCTCCTTCTTACTACTTAAGAACAAGCATAAACCGTTATTAAGGAACACGCCGAAAAGCAGCCGCTTGGGTCTAAGCTCTTAAGCGCAACCGCTAAATCGCCCTGGTTTTCCTTGCCAGCCTGGAAACGAGCGTCTTTTTTAGCTCGAGCTTGGAGCTCAACCACGAGGCTGGGGCACGGAAAGCTGAGCTCAACCCGCTGTTAGACAAAATCCACTGTGGGACTAGAAGGCTGGGCTCGAGCTGCTGTTAGATGTGAGAGCTGGGCTCAACGTGGCCTTAGACAAGAAGGCTGGGCTTAACCTACTGTTAGAGAAGAAGGCTGAGCTCAAGCTGCTGTTAGCCATGAAAGCTGGGCTCAACCTGTTCTTAGACAAGAAGGCTGAGCTCAACCCGCTGTTAGACAAAATCCACTGTTAGACAAGGCTGGGCTCAACCTGCTGTTAAGACAAGAAGGCCGAGCTCAATCTACTGTTAGACAAGAGCTGAGCTCAACCCGCTGTTAGACAAGAAGGCTGAGCTCAAGCTGCTGTTAGACATGAAAGCTGAGCTCAACGCACTGTTAGACAAGAGAGCTGAGCTCAACCTGCTGTTAGACAAGGCTCAACTCAATCTGCTGTTAGACATGAAAGCTGAGCTCAACCTACTGTTAGACACCCAAAGTGGAGCTCAACCTGCCGTAAGACACTGAAGGCTCAGCTCAATCTGCTGTTAGACACCCAAGGCTGAGCTCAACCTGCCCTCAGACGCCCAAAGCTGAGCTCAACCTGCCGTCAGACACCCAAGGCTGAGCTCAACCACCCTCCCCTCAGCCCCCCAAAGCTGAGCTCACCCTGCCGTCAGACGCCCAAAGCTGAGCTCAACCTGCCGTCAGACGCCCAAGGCTGAGCTCAACCTGCCGTCAGACACCCAAGGCTGAGCCACCCGTCCCAGCGCTCGCTCCCCCAGAGATGAGCGGCTCCAGGAGGCAATTCAGAAAAGCAGGAGCCGCTCCGGAGCGGAATTCCTTCCATCTGCACTTACACGGACCAAAGCTCAACCCATGCTGCCCGTTTCTCGCCAGGAAAGGCAAGAACTTGGGCTCTTTCGAGCCTGATGCCACGTGCGGAGAAGTAAAACCCAGCATCCGTCAAAAAATAGGTTCAGGAGGGAAAAAAACTCGGCTCCGGGGACTCCTCGACGTCACCGTCGGGGTTCTCTACACCGATAAAACCGACGGAGGGAGATTTGTAGAGGTTTATCCCACCACGTGCAGCAGAGTCAGCGCTAACGCAGTAAAATAAATGGAAGTTGGGGTAGAAAATCCCCTCAGAATGAGAAAGGATGAGGTTAATGGTGTCAGAGACGGTCCGTTGCCCTAAAATAACCCGCTGCCGTGCCCGCTGGGGTTTGGTCAAAGTCTGGACCCACTGAACGCAAGCTCCAAGGTCTCGCTCGTTATTTCCTCCTTTCTTAATTTCATCTGATTACGGCTAAATAAGCCAAAACAACTCCTTTTCGCCTCGGGTTAAATACCAAGATCCTGCCTCCCCTCCGAGCCGGCAGCTGACGAGCGGTAAAGACTCGGCTCTCGCCATCTTACCTCTCAATTTAAAACCTTCCAAAAAAAGGGAGAAGGAGGAAAAATTTAGAGGATTCGAGGGTTTGGGATCCACCAGAGCGACTCCACGGGATAGTTTTTTTTTCCCCCCTCTCTCCTGTACTGAGCGCGTTCCCAGCAGCCCCGAAAAACGAAGTGTGAACTCAAGGTTGGGACTCGACCCCGAGCAAGGCCCGCGTCGGCCCTAGCCACGGCGTTCCTCGTCAAGAATCCTGCGCGTAATTAAGTTCGTTAGCAAAACTATACGCGCCGGGAGGTCAAGGGGATTACGTGAGGGGGGCTGACCTGGAGGTACTGCTGTTGCTGTTGCTTTTCTTGGCCTTCTTAGGCGGCGGCTCCTTGGCTTTGCTTTTCTTGGCGTCTTCCAGCTCCTCCTTCTTTTTGTGCTTCTCCTTCTTCTTCTCCTTCTTGTCTTTCTCTTTTTTCTTTGGTTTGTTCTGCTGCGGCTGGGACAGGGCCGCGAGCTGTTCGTGCACTGCTTTCAGCTGAGAGGCAGACAAACAAAATCAAGATATTTTTACCCGGCACCTCCTCCTCTTCCATATTAATTCATTTTTTTCTCTCCACTCTAGCGCTTTCTTATCTTAATTAAGTCGCTTCTTCCCGCTTTTCATCGCACCGCCGTTATTCTATATTAAATTATCGACCGCTGCAAGCAGGCGCCAACCTCTTGCGGGGGATTTCTCCCCGCTCGGGCAGCAGCGGGCGGCTCACGGCGTCAGCGCTAGCGATGCTTTAATTCCCAGCGCTGACGATGCCGGGAACGGGGAGGACGGGGAGAAACGGTGATGGCTCTGGAGTTCAGGCAGCCCTGGAGTGTCCCTGCCTGCGCTGGGGTGACCCTGCCTGCTCAGGGGTGTCCCTGCCTGCTCAGAAGACATCACCCAAGTGCAGACAGCAAATTCCTGCCGTCGGGGACCATCTCGCGTGTCCGAACAGCAAGGACCGCCCTGAAAAGCACCGATTCCTTCGTGCATCGCTTTAAAACGACCAATTTTGGAGCAGCTGAGGGTCACCATCACACAACCAGAAAGGCTACGGCTCGGGCAAAGTCCCCGAGGCCACCAAGTTCAAGGAGAAGGACACGCCGGCCACCCCCGATGGTGTGTCCCTGCCTGCTCTGGAGTGTCCCTGCCTGCTCCAGGGCGTCCCTGCCTGCTCAGGAGAATCCCTGCCTGCTCAGGGGTGTCCCTGCCTGCTCAGAAGACATCACCCAAGTGCAGACAGCAAATTCCTGCCGTCGGGGACCATCTCGCGTGTCCGAACAGCAAGGACCGCCCTGAAAAGCACCGATTCCTTCGTGCATCGCTTTAAAACGACCAATTTTGGAGCAGCTGAGGGTCACCATCACACAACCAGAAAGGCTACGGCTCGGGCAAAGTCCCCGAGGCCACCAAGTTCAAGGAGAAGGACACGCCGGCCACCCCCGATCCATCAGGAGGGAGGCGGTACCTGTTCCTGGAGCTCCGCTAACCGCTGAGCTCGCTCTTCCTCGGAGTCATCCGACGAGCTGTCGCTGTCGGAGGAGCTGTCGCTGCTGCTGTCGCTGGACGAAGGGGGAGCCACCTTGGTGGGAGGCGGCACCACCACCGGAGAAGAAGCTGGAATCACAGGTTCTTCGGGTTCATCCGGCATCTTGGCAAAGCGCATCTCGAACACGTCCTGAAAATAGAGGGGAAAAATAAAATACAGGGGGGAAATAACGCGAGGTTTGGCAGAGTAGGGTACCACAAGCGTGGCTGCGATCCCCCGGGTGTTCCCTACGCATCTGTGGTCTCTCCCCAACCAACACCACGATGCCGCGTGTCACAGACAAGATAATTTCCGGAATGCTCCAAATCCACTTGGAATTTTGACCGTCTCCAAGACGGTTTTGGGGGGAAAAAATTACCAGCAAGAAGGACAAGATTCATTTAAAAGCTGCATCGGCCACGTTCTTGAGATCGCCTACGTCTTCTTCCGCTATCCTCAAGAGCGAGGGATGCGAAACCGGTTTCATCCCAGTTTATCCCAGCGATTTTCTCCTAAAGCCTGATCTGAAAATCCATTTCCATTTAAACCCAAGACAAGGCAGATAAGGCGGGAAAGCCTGCTTAAATTTAGCGCCTGGTTATATTTCTCGGTGCCTGTTGACTTCACGTGAAGGACGGGTTTTGAACGTGGTTTTTTAGTTTCCCAGAAGAGGAACTTGCACCCAAAAAGAGATTTTTTTTTCCCCTAAGGTGCCACCTTGTGAAGGGCGAAGCACTTGCAGACAAAAAAATGCCGTTTTTTTGCATCTCCTACAAGGCGAGACCTGAAAACGGGCTCGGTTCACCTGCTTTTAGGTGTTTGGAAGTCAGGTATTTATTTCTGAGCTTAGCAACTCGCCCCAGGCTCCTTTCGGAGCCCGTACGGAGCCCGGCAACTCCCAGAAGATGACTCGGGCGATGGCGGGAAGAACAACCCGAAGGCGGCCCAAGCGTCGGTGTCCACCTCTTTAATATCGAGTCATAAAAAATGAAAAGATTATTTCTCCTCCCACCCAAAGGTTTGACTTTCCCTCTCCAGTGACTCTTTTATTTTTCCTATTTTCCAAGTCCTGGGTGCGTGGCCGTGATCACAACCCACCAGACAAGACCCGTGGTTTATTTCTAAAACCCAACGGACTGTAAATACGAAGCGGGTGTGCGTTCATGTAGATTTACACGACTCCTCCAAAATCCTTCAGCAAGCCAAACGCCCCGCGATACCGAATCGCGCTGCTTTAACTCGGCGCTCGAGCGACGCTTCTCCCTCCCGAAGGCTTCCAGCTCCTCTCGTTCAGGCTCATCCTTGCGATTTTAAGGGCCCGTTGGGCTCTCCCCCGCCTCGACGTACGTTATTTTTCCACCCTCCTTAAACGCGAGCAGGCGGAGCGCTGCTGGGCCGCGTTTCTCCATCCTCAGCCTCCTCGTGCCTTTATTCAGGGTTTCTTTTTTTCCCAGCAGCGATGTTTTTTCCGGGCGCTGTGGATGTTGTTTTGCTGCTTCCATCTGCTGGCAGAAATGCCGTCGCCTTCATTTACGCGCCCAGGCTCAAATTTCAGGGGAAGGAGCAGAAAATGTTGGAGGAAAGGGAGAGATTTCCCAGCTCCTCCAGCGACGGCATCGTTTACGGGATGACGGAGGCAGCCGCAGCCATTTCTCACTGATTCACCCCACTTAATGGCTGTTTACACCCTAATTATTGTTTTCCACAAACCAGAAAGTCCGGTGCTTCGTTACCACCGGCAGGCAACGCCACACCACCCTATGAACTCCATTTTTAAATTCTCTAGGGTGAGAAATAAAACCCTCTTCCTTTTTTTTTATCTCTATCTAGTGTTTTAACGAACAGCAAGGCTAATTTAAAGTTCCTTTGGGCAAAGTTAAAAAGCCATTTATCAATTCCGATGAATTGCTGGGTTATGAGAAGCACCTGGGTTACGCGAAGCCCGCGGTGTCCGACGGATCCCTAGGAATCCACTCGGGAAAGGACGGAAAAGAAAAACCCCTGTGAGCAGATAACGCGCTAATTAATGCCTTTTTCATCGAGGATTCGTACTGCTGCTCTTTGGTACGTCGCCGGTCCCGCTGACCCGTCCTCGCTCGGACAAATATCAACCATAAACTTCTTTCACGAGCCGGCGTTCACCTTGAAAATCCCAGAAATCATTTTGCGACGACGAAGCAGTAACAAAAAGCAGAAAAAACGAGTTATCGCAGAGGTCGATGTTTCCGGGGCGGAGGGATAACGCAGCAGGCCGCGAGCGGGGCCGCGTCGCTCGTTTACGGGGAACTCAAGTCCAAACTTGAATCCTCGGCCTTGTTTCCAAACCTCAGCAGCGCGCCAGAAACCTCCCTTTTTTGCCGTTTTCTTTCTGAAATCAGTTTTCTGCGGGCGGGAAAAGCAAACGGAGAGGTGCCACCTCCGGCTCAAGCAGGTGGGGAGCGGGATCCAGTTGGTGTGGATCCGTCGCCATCGCCGCTACGGGGCTGCTCTGAAATTTAACGCCCGTTTTCGGGGGATTATTACATTCAAAACCCCACTTTTTTCATCTTTAGGTCAGAAATAAAGTTTCCCGAGTGGATCCCGAGCCCGTCCACGGGATCGATGCGGGTGAAACCCCGATCTCGTACCGCCCTCGGTCCAAACGGCGTCACCCGGTCGCTGAGGATTTTCCCCCATAAAATGGGGTGAAAAAAAGAAAAGTCACGAGTTTCCGCGAAACTTTTCAGCCTGCGATGAGAACGATCGGAATTTCAGATCAGATTCATTCTGCTGCTGGTTGGAAAACGCTCCAAGCCGTCGCTTAAAGAGGCCGCAAAGTTCTTCGTTAGACCAAAATAAGAAGAGAAGAGCAGCCAGAGGGCGAGCAGTGCGTTTTCCAGGCATTTGCTGACCATAAAATCCCCCCAAAATAGGCATAAGATGCTGAATTCTACCAAATTCATGCTAAAATCAAGCCGAAACACACATTTACTCAGCAGTCGTCTCAAATTAAACCAGCCCAAACCGGAGCTGCGATTTTATAAAAGCACCAGGAAAAAATACGAGCGCCTAAAAACCGAGGCCGCATCTCGGAGGCCGCGCGGGCCGGCTTTGCCGCCGCTTCGGCTCCTTGAAGCCCGGTGGCAGCTTCACATCTGGCTCGAAGCAAAACAGCTGGCAGGAATGTCACGAGCCGCTCTTTTCCTCGACGCTCCTTCGACTTCAGCGGAGGGGGAAGCCGCGTCGCGCGGAGGTTTTTACCCGAGGTTTCCAGTTCGCAAAAGCCAGCCGAGCTATTAATATCCAATTTCTCCTTTTTTTTTTTTGGTCGTTTCTCGAGTCAAACATCCTGCAACCTAGTAGTTTTTCCCCCAATTTAAGAGCTTTCTCCCCAATTCCACAGCTTTCCTCCCGATTTAACAGCTTTTCCCCCAACCTAATGATTTTTCCCAGCTCTCCGGTGCTTTCTGGCGTAACTCAGATCCCTCCTCAACCCATTTTCTGAAGGTGAAAGCAAACCACGCCGATTTTCTTCTCCTTTCACGTAACGAGAGCTCCGTTGCTTCGTCCTTGTCGCTGGAATCGCACTTTTCTAGGCTAATAAAACCTCTTCCCTTACGGATTTGGTTCCCGTGGACTCACGGACGTCTCACATCCCGGCCTGCGTCCCCTCCTCGCCGCGGTCGAGGCGTCTTTCCGGCATCCGACGCGCAGCTCCGCGTGGATTCTGGGGACTCCGCGGCGGCTCCCAGCCGCTTGGTTGCTATCAAATGCGACGCGGTGAAGTCATCAAGGAGCGACTGAGCGACGTAGGCCAGGAAAGCTTATTGCTTTAGAAAACGCCAACTGCGCCCACAATCCTCCCAGGGCAAAAAAAAAGGGAAAAATTAGCATTTAAGCGAACGAACGGCCTGAAATCACGGATACGGGGAACGCCTGAGTGTTTTTAGGGATAGATGTTGAAGTATTTGGGTCAAAAAACCAAATGTAGGAGCTTTTTGTCCCCTTGCAGTGCTTCTCCGCGGCTGCTGTGAGCTCCTTTAGCAGCGGCACGGGCTTGGTCTCTCCCAGATCCGCTCGGAACCAAGGGGTTTTCCCCGCTTCGGCTGGGCGACCCCGCGTAGCGGCTCCGAATTACTCAGAAACGAGGGAATGGAGGTGATTTTTTGGAGCGGCGGAGTGTGCGCATTAAGCCGAGCGCTTCACTCGAGACATGTGGCTTCTTCATCGGCTAATTAATGAACTTACTCATTCCAAACCCTTCAGGAACGAGCGGAGAGCAGAAAACTTCCCCGTAAGAACGACGGAAGAGGTAATTAAAAAAGCACGACCGAGCAGGTATCGTCACTTCTTTTCTTTCTAGGTGTTTTGGGGAGAAAAGCTGACATTTCAGAGCTGCACTTTATCAAAAAGGTACGAGGACACGAAAAAGACGCTATTAAACAAAATAAGTTTCAAGAAGCAAATTGGGCTGAGTCAGCTCAATCCTTGTGTCACCGCCACAGCAAAAAGTATCATTTTTTTACCGTTGCCTACCACGCCGGCGTTTCTTTACGTTATTTCAAGACTACGTGGGCCTTACGCTGGAAAAAGAAGTCAAGAGAGTCGGCGCTCATCGAAAACCGAAGCGGGTGGCAACACCGCGCGTCCTTACCTGCAGTTTCCGTGCCATGGCCACCACCTCGTGATCAGCGGGGTTGTACTTATAGCAATTGGAGAACATCAATCGTACGTCCGCCGCGAATTCCTGAGCATCTCGGTATTCCCGGTTCTCCAGTTTAGACTAGAAAGGAGGAGAGAATAAAAAACAAACAAAAAACTCTCCGCTATTAACAGCGCAAATCCAAAAAAAAAAAACCGGATCGAGTGAATAAATACGGCCCCGTGGCGCCCGCGGATTTCACGCACCCGTTTTCTCCCTACGCCGGAACGCCTAATTTTGGTCAAATGAAGGATTGCGGTTGGTTTATAAAAAATTGGAGCCGACTACGGGCGTCTTCAGTGACGTTCAGAAGAGGACTACGTGCTCTCCAAGCCACCTTCTCGCCGTCTCTGCGGCTGACAGCAGCCAGGCGGTTTGGATGAAGAACCGACCGGGGAGAAGAGCGGGGGGGAAGGCCGGGAGGACGAACCCTGGCTCTACCTGACCTCAACCAAGAAGGGCTGCACCTCCGCGTGCGCCCAAGATCATGCGTTAGCAGAAGAACACGGTGGGCTTCGCCCAGATCGTTCCCCTAGAAGGAAGAGCTCAAGAGTTGTTTTAACGGCGCAGCCTGGTTGGAGGGACAGGGGACACCAGGATGGTCCTCCACCCAACGACGGAAGATGATTTTGTTGACGTAGGGGACAGGATTCAACCATTTCACCTGCTTTCAACCACCAACCCTTCCTCCAGGAACCAAGCTGGTGTCTCTAGAGCTCGGCCCTCCACCCTGGGAGGGCACAGACCTGTCCTACGGCTACCTGCTCCTCTCCCAAGCCTCCGTGGAGCTGGGAGGACCGATCCGGGTGGAGACAGCCTCGAGATGACCTCCTCATCCCCCCCGAACGCCACGTCCAGCTGTGGCAACGCCAGCTGAGCCAAGAGAAGCTTCACGCCTCTTTCTCCCTCCCTGGGAAAGCGGGGTTGAGTTGGACAACTGAAAGACGAAGAACGTTCAACAGCTGTCCCGGCAACATCTGCCAAGGGTGACCTCAGACAGACGGCGCTGCCAGACAGTTGGGCAGCGAGATGTACGGGCAGCTACGGACGTGCAAGACCTAACGCTCATCACCAGCCAGGCTGGAGGAGAAAGCCAAAGCCAAGAATTGAAGTCGGCGTTGCCAAGGTTTGGCCCACCGAGACCCTACAGGTCCGAAACGCCGTGACGAAGGAAGAGCCGCGATCCTCGTTGGCTTCGGCCCCGGTGCAACCTCGGCGAGGGGCGGGCTGCGGGAAGGGAAAATTCAGTCCTCTGGTTTTAAAACGCAGGCCCAAACTGGGGGAAGCAGGAGTTAGAGCTAAGCTCAAACTCCTTGCACGCGAGTTCATCCCGTAGCTACACAGTTAAGACTTCTAAATAACGAATTAAGGTTTGGTAACTAAAAAGTTAAAGACTTTTAAATAAGGAATTACGGTTTCCTAGCTAAAAAGCTAGATTTCTAAATCGTGAATGAACATTTCCAGGGGAAATGTGGATGACTTTGCAGTCGCTCTTTAAAATGAAGCGACTCCAATCATGAATTTAACGTTTCAAGGGGAAACGGGGATGAATTTGCAGTCGCTCTTTAAAACGAAGCAAATTTCAAGGGGAGGGAACTACCTGTGCTGAACAGAAGACTGATTTAGACAGACAACTTCAGGAAGACGGGCCTTTATTTTAAAAAGAATTGAAAATGGGGTTGCTTTAAATCAAATCCTCTTATTGCTGTGATTTCTGCTCACTGAGGCCATCTCCTGGGCTAAAAAAAAAAGGGTAGATTTATACAGTAATGGAAATTTTCTATAAAAAAACCCCTGCGAGCGTTTCCTAAGAGCCCTTCTGGAAGGATGCCGGCTTGTTTGTTTTTCCCAAATGTCAGGATAACAGTAAGAGGCGAAGAAGAGAGACCGAATGTACCAGAAGCCCACGGCCAAAATAAATCCGGCAGACCCGTGAAGGCGCCTGGTGCGCACGCGCGGGGAGAAAATGAAGTTTTTCCTGCTCAGACCCCGACCTCCCCCTTCCTATAAACCTGAGCTTACTTTGATTGTGCTCAGATCCATGGGATGTTTAATGATATCGCAATAATCGTGCAGTCCCAGTGCTTCCACGTCCACAGGCTTGTAGAAGGGCCAGGCGTAGGCAGCGTGTTTCTTGGCGAACATCTCTTTGATGATGCCGCTGCAGTATTTTAACTGCTCGGATATTTTGCTACTCTTTTCTACCACGTGTTGTTGAGAGTCTGGGACGTCCTTCTTTGGAGGCTTCACCGGGCGGCTGCTTTCCCGACGCGGTCCCAACTTGGTGGACTTGGGTTCGGTGGGCAGCGATGACGATTCATGAATTGGGTCGATGGTCGTTGGTGTCGTGGTGTCTGCTTTCCTCTTCACCCCTTTTTTTGTCTATAACCGAGCAAATAAAGCAATATTACTTTTGGCATCATACTTTTGGCTTCAACCGAGTTGCGTTTCTTGTAGCGTTGACTCGGATTGGCCATCGCTAGTGACTCAAGCCTCACGGCAACGCTACGAGAAGGATGCTGGAAGCCTTTCCAAAGATATTCAGGTATTGTCGACCTGTACCGAGCTCTACGGAAAACCAGAGGGATCATTTCTGTCGTACCAGCAAAGGTCAAGGGCCTGAGTCACTTCAGCAAGCCAAGATTTTCTTCCCGAGTCATACAAAGCTCAAGTCAGGAAGGTTTTAAGGAGGATGAACGTGGTTTCCACGCAAACCTGGGTGGAATTCATCACGTCCGACTTAAACCGGTGTCAGAGGGGGTCACCGTAGGCTCCTCACGTTTCTCAAAACATGAATTTTTTGACCAAACTGCGGCCGTTCCCCTTAAAACGAGACTCCGGCAGCAAAGCAAAGGGCGACCACTTGACCACCCGCAATGTTGCTACGCCACGAAGATAATTTAAGCTCTCACACGTTAAGATAATTAAGGAAATCACTCACCTTCACGGGCTGGGCGGGTGTTGGGATAACAGGAGGGTGAGGCTGGATGGGCTGGGGAGCCGGGGCCGGCGGCGCGGGGGCCTGGGGAGCAGGCGGAGGCGGCACGGGAGGTTGAGGAGGCACCATCGTCATTACCGGGGTCTGGACGATGAGGTCGGGGGTGACGGAAGGAAAGGAATGAGTCGTCTGCACGGACTGGAGGTTTTGCTGCGGCGCCTGCGTCTGCGCCGGGGACGATGCTTGGGTTGCGTTCGGTACCGTGGATGATCCTGGTTTGGATGTCACTGCCAAGAGAAAAGAAAGAAAAGGTTGCTTCTCTCTTCAAACGTAATTGTTTTAATGGGAAAACCAATATTTCGTAATAACACCATTTAAAGAACATTGCTCACTAGATCATTCATTTCTTGCGGGTCCCGTTCTCGAGCAACCAGTCAGGGACAAACGCTCGCCACGTTTTCCTTCACGAGGATTATTTTTATGGCTCGCTAGGCGAAATGGTGAAGCAGCTCAGGACCTAATGGTGCCAAAACCCCTCCCGAAAAAGACCAAGATCAGGCCAAACGCGTCCTCCCCTCTCCCCCTTCCCTTCACACCAGATTTCTTGCAGGCAGGGCAAGGCGATGAGCACCTCTTTTCCCGCCTACCCTTTTTTCCTCAGCAACACTTCTTGACTATCATCATTTTGGAGCCCAAACTGGGCAGCTCTTCCTTCAGGAGCAATTTTGTGCTCCGTTATCAAGAAAACTTTCTCAATTCTTGGTGATTTAAGGCATCGCAGCTGCTATTGTCCAGGGAAAATCTCTCCTGACGGCTGGAGAGCGAGGTCTTCGTGAGGCGATTTCAACCGTAGAGGTTGGGACGCGAGGTTGGAAACGTCAGCGTTGTCCTTGGCCCTTCCAGTGGCCCTGGGGAAGTCACCTCCTTGCTGGAGCTGCTGTCGCTTCGCAGGACAAAGCTCTGACCAAGCTTCCAAACTTTCCGGCACGGAAAAGAGGAATGCTGCAACGCTTGAATGATGCTGGGACACGCCACCGGCAGACCTTCAAGATCGTCAGCTATCCAACGTACCTCGTTACCAACAACTGGATTTAAATCTTCAGCAAGAAGCGAGCTCGGTATTTTTTAAAACACGGGGACCATCCTTTACGCACCCCCTGGAAATCCTGCCGCTCGAGCCGTACCCGCGCCCACCTCCCAGGCTGCAGAGACTGGATTTTGGCTGCTATTTCACCGCTGGCTCAACGAGGAGACTCCCCCGAACGCGACACGTTAGCCGCGTGTCCTCCCCCGCCGGCTATCCAACACCTCTTCCATGATTCTCCCAAAAAATAATTAATTAGAAAAGAAACGCAGCCGGATTTGCTCCCGGTCAGTCCCCAGGAGCTGCAATTATTGCAATCCCACTTGAAAAATGTCGCGTATTAAGAGAGATGCTCAACTACAACCGCTAGCGAGCTTATTTCCGCTAAAACCAAACCAGCCACCCATTAAGAGAATAAAATCGGGAGTTTTCGTCGCGGAGAAGCTCTGCATCGCTTCGGCAAAGCCGACGCGCTTCACCTCCTACCTTAGCCGGGAGCTCGAGATTTCGATGAGAAACCCGCAGGGGGGTTTGCAGCGAAGCCCTTCCAGCCATCCTCCCACCTGGGTTTTAATAATTTAACCCCAAATCGGTTATTATACGCTGAATTTGGCGCACAATACGATTTAACAGGAGGGGTAGCCGACTAGAGGAAAATGATCTTGCAGGTCCCCGGAGAGATATTCTATAGAGTAAATATATAGTTATTCTGTTATTCTAGTCTATTATTCTAGTTTATTATTCTATTATTCTACTCTATTATTCTATTGTTCTACTATGCTATTGTATGGTTCTATTATATGTTCTACTATATCATGATAAACTGGCTGGATGGCCGAGCCCAGAGTGGTGGTGAATGGAGTCAAATCCAGTCGGTGGCCGGTCCCCAGTGGTGTTCCCCAGGGCTCGGTGTTGGGGCCGGTCCTGTTCAACATCTCCATTGCTGATCGGGATGAGGGGATGGAGGGCGCCCTCAGTCAGTTTGCAGGTGACACCACGTTGGGTGGGAGCGTTGGTCTGCTGGGGGGCAGGGAGGCCCTGCAGGGGGCCCTGGCCAGGCTGGAGCGGTGGGTGAGGCCCACTGGGGGAGGGGGAGCCGGG